TCGTCTCTATTTACGAAATTACACTCTTTACTGATTCATTTTTCAAACTGTGTTATAAAAAAACGGTAGAAAACAATGTGCTTTATCTGTGGCACATTTTTGTTTGATTTTCAACTTATAGCTGTTGGTTCATATAAAGTAGAAGAATAAATGTGAAAATAAGGAAGATTTTTCAAACGTTTAAGAGGTTCATAATTTTTTCTTTGGTACGAAATGAATTTCCTGTTTTCATTTTTGCAACACAGTAAATAGTATTTTCAACTTTGCAACTTTGTTAAGATGTCAGCCGGGCTTTGAACTGTTCGATTTGGATCAGATGCCAACAGGGCACTATTCGGTTGTCTAGCTTTGCAGACCACCGACCACGATACAGTTCTACTTTTGTTTTCCATTTTTTTTGTTTAGGATTTTTTGTTTTTTTCTGTTTTCAGGGTCATCGCCTTTTTTTCAAAGAGTATGATAAAAAGAAATGGCTTTTCATTGTTCCTCTTTTTTAACTCCTAATCAATGAAATGTTTTGCTACCATAATAATTTTCACCTGCTGAACAAGTGATTAAACGTATTGGTTTACACTAATTTGGATTGCTGCTAATGTTTGTACGTTTTAAGAGAGATATATGTTTTTGTAATACCGTATACAGTAGTGAAAAAATTTTTTCACGGAAGAAGATTATAAGTCTATTTTTAATGGTCAGCGATTTTACCAGGTACTACTGTTGACCATTTTTTGTTGCCAAAAATGTAGTTCATATTCATAGAACAATAAGAAAGTATCGTGTTTTTTGACCAAATAGTTTTGGCGTAACAGCGATTCGGTAAATTGCAACTTCCGGCTAAGGACTGATGGATTTTTCGCTCTTGCCACTTGTGTTTCAAACGATGCCAGGTGGTCGACGAATTGGGGAAAATCAAATCCACCTTGTTTGTAGAGCATCTGGGCAGTCTGTGGTAGAACATTACAGCCAAAGAGGCAAATACTATGAGTATGGGTCCCATTGCCTATCTTTTTGTTATTTTAGAAAAGAAAACAGTTTTTTTTTCGCAGAATTGCATTTGACTGTAAAGCACATCGAAAACTGGAAAGAAAACCGTTTTTTCGAATGTGCAATCCCATTATTATTCCATTTACTGTGAAGTACTGCTGTTTCTAGAGCTCTTAATTGGTGTCTTGAAGTTGTCTATTCCGCCATACAATGGAGTACAACAAAGTTGTAATTCAGTTTGAGATTTAAAAGATGGAAGGATGAAGAATTGAGATGAAGATGATGGAGAATTTGTGATACACCAGTCACGATTATACCATTTTTTCTAGAAAGACCTTTTAGTTTTCGACGTTTGATGGATAGAAGCAAATAGCTTACAACACACTTTTATAACCGCAGCAGTTTAAATATCACGGTTGGCGCAGTGTTTCTTTTGATAGAAAGAAAATTCTTTTGAGTATGGTGTATCTTCATTTGTAAAATTTTATGTTGCCTTACTGTCAACGTTTAAAGTTGCTTCGAGTGGTGGGACACTTTCAGTATGTCTGTAGGTAGTCTGTTATGCCAGAAAAACAGACGCATTTTAATGGATTTGAGCGGCTGTTGATACTGATTAACCTAAAGTAGCGACAGATTATGTGTAACATTGCCTTGAGTTAGTTCTTGTGGGATCGTGCTCCAACTGCATAATGTGATTCACGGTTGTCCGTGAATTGTGCTGAAAGTTCGTCAATTTCGGGAAAGCTGTCAATTAACGGTTGAACTGACTGCTTTTGACTACAGTCATTCGGTTGAGGGAATGTTTGATCTCCAGAGTTTTCAGGAAAGAAGCAGTTATAAACCGTCTTTGCTATATTATCAATTTGAAGACGAGGGGATAGAATATTGGGTTAGCAAAAGATTGTTATCCTGTAAGAGTCTGACACCACTAGCGCTCAAGCAGTCACTGGTCATTGTCAATAGGTATTTTGGCTGACTGTCAGACCGACGCGAAGTAACGACGGCCGTTAAGTTACAGCTTACAGCGGTGCGCTGGAAGCCGGTATGCATTAAGCTTACTATACGGTAGACGGATTGATGAATCAAGTTAGTTTATTGCTTATTTTCTGTAGTCTTTCAAAAGCAATTTAGATACTTAATTTTCCTTCTTTGTCTAGTAGGAACTGCGATGGGCTTTCTTGAAATGCTTGCGTTTGATTTTTTCCCGCTGATGTAGTAACTGTTTTAAAGTTTTTTTTTTACCTTATCTTCCGCACTTTGCCTCCTCTTTCTGCAGTCCTTTCCTGTTTCTTTTTGCGCATGACTTTGTTTTACATCTGTTCTCGTAGTT